TGGGGGTTGTTCTGGTCTATGCAAAATCATTCAGATGGTTGTTGGAAAGATGGTTTCAAAATAAAGAATGAGAAATCTTATGGGGAAATAATTTATGAACATTTGAGAACATAATGAGTTGTCACCAATAATATAATAATAAATTCATTAATGCTACAATAAAATCTATTATTAAATGCATTTTACTATCATTTCATTGGTGACAACTCATTATATCATTCAATTATGTCTCAATAACATTAGTGATAAAANTACTATCATTTCATTGGTGACAACTCATTATATCATTCAATTATGCCTCAATAACATTAGTGATAAAGAATTCTTTTTACCAAAATAATATCACTAATGTTATTGGGACATAATTGAAAAATATAATTTGGAAACATAATTAGTTGTCACCAATGAGATGATAGTAAAATGTATTTGATGATGGGTCTCATTGTAGCATTAATAAATTTATTAACATATCATTGGTGATAACTCATTATATTTTTAAATTATATCCATAAATTATGTCTCAATAGCATTGCTCGAATGATATCTAAAACTCATCCAGATGAATTTGGAATTTTATTGAGGGAGTATTATGCAACGTCACTAACAAAGGAGGACAGTGTTATATTTTAAATAAGAGGGGGTTTAGGTGTTATTTGACCAAACATCAGGGAAGATGAATGTAATTACTCAATAAAAAAAAGATTAAAAAAAAAAAGTAATATGGTCATTTTAGTATTTCTGTTAACGGAGTTAGGTGTGCACATTGGTCTACAAACTACATGGGGATTATGCACTTATTTCTAAACGTGGGGGAGTAATATGATAAAGGGCAAACAATAAAAGGGAAAAATGAAGTTTTCCCTAAAATAAATTTAAGGGGCCGAACTGGAATTCGAGGTATAGTTTAGGGATCTCAGTTCTGATTATATATTCGGCAACAAGTAGTTAGTGAGATTATTAAGCACCATTATATGAAGGGAGCCCCATTATGCTTTGTATCATCTGAATAGTGTAATGGAGATCATTTTTGCATTGCTTCTTGGTTTATCTCTTGGAATTGTCATTAATGCGCAGGGTGATCAATCAGGTTTGATAACTCATCTCTCTTAATATCACTGTCCATGTGATTCACTACCCATATACCTAAAGCTTCCATTTCCATCTCTCTCTCTCTATCTCTCTCAGGTTTCATAAGCATAGATTGTGGATTACCAGAAGGTGGGGACTATACTGATGGGAAGACTGGCATAATTTACACTTCAGACACAGGCTTTGTAGACACTGGTGCAAGTAGGAGCATATTACCCACTTACATGACAAGCTCCATTGAACAACAGTTCAAGACTGTCCGAAGCTTCCCTGAAGGAACAAGAAATTGCTACACCCTAAGGCCTGCTCAAGGAAAGGGTAACAAGTACTTGATAAGGGCAAGTTTTTTGTATGGAAACTATGATTCCCAAAACATACTACCAAGGTTTGATCTTCATGTCGGAGTTGATACTTGGGACACAGTGATATTGACCGATTCTTCGACTCCGTTAAGAAAGGAGATCATACACATTCCCACTTCGGATTACATATCTATCTGTCTCGTAAAGACAGGCCGCTACGCAACACCTTTCATATCATCGTTAGAATTGAGGCTTATGAACAATACCATTTATGAAACTCTATCTGGTTCATTGAATCTCATATCTCGTGTCTTTTTTGACTCATCGGCCACTCAATTAGTCAGGTCAGTCTTTGTTTCCATTACGTTTGTCAAATATTTTAAAAAGTCTTCTTTTTTTAACTAATTGAAATTATGCACCGAAATAATATTTTGATTATTTGAACACAACTTTCAAGAGTTTGTGTTTACTATCTGTGGGTTTAAATGGTATGTTGATTGACAATCTAATTCGCTTAACAAATGGCTCGGCACAAATCTTTTCCAACTCACCAAGTTGAACATAAGTTAACGTGATTTACATTCGATACGATTTATTGATAAATATCTTACTTTTTTGGAATAATAATCTTTGCCCAGGTACAAAGATGATGTTTATGATCGCATATGGAGACCCTTTAGCTTGAGTGATGCTGTGACATTAAACACTTCCAACACATTTCTACCTAACATCTTTCAGCCACCGTCGATAGTCATAAGGAGCGCTGCCTCGCCGGGAAATTCGGCAGACTCATTGTCCTGCTACTGGGGCACTGACAACGCAACGGACCAGTTTTATGCTTACATGCACTTCGGTGAAGTTCAATCTTTGAAAGCGAACCAGTCCAGAGCATTTGATATCTATATTAATGGAGACTTCTGGTATGGACCAGTTGTGCCAGGTCCTCTAGTAACAAATACAATATACAGCACAAAACCTAAGACTGGTTACTTGAAGTACGATATTTCACTCAATAAAACCAGCAATTCAACCCTCCCACCTATCATCAACGCTGCGGAGGTTTATTCTGTGAAAAACTTCTCAAGTCCTGAGACATATGAAGAAGATGGTATGTACTTATTCCTTAATTATTACGGTTAATTATTAGTTTTTCTCATGCATCTTCATGTTCAACCCTTTTTTTAAATCTCTCGTTTAAATTTGTGAATGCTNATTCAACCCTCCCACCTATCATCAACGCTGCGGAGGTTTATTCTGTGAAAAACTTCTTAAGTCCTGAGACATATGAAGAAGAAGGTTTGTACTTATTCCTTAATTATTAGGGTTAATTATTAGTTTTTCTCATGCATCTTCATGTTCAACCCTTTTTTAAATCTCTCGTTTAAATTTGTGAATGCAAGTTGATGCTATGTTGAGCATAAAGTCAATGTATAACATTACAAGAAACTGGCAAGGAGATCCATGTGCACCTACAGCGTTTGTATGGGACGGTCTTAACTGCAGCTACAATGCCGGCAACCCCCCTAGGATCATCTCCTTGTAAGTTTATGGCATCTAGTTATTTTTAGATTTAACAATTCTAGATTACAAATCAGATATCAAATATTATTTAAACTTAAAAGTTTGATTTAATTTAAGGAAAAATACCAATAAGTCTTACTTTTCAACATCCTATTGACATTTAGGAGTTTATATGCAAGTGAATCTTACATAATATAAAAATTATTACATAAATAAATATTTTTATTTTCTCTCTTAAATATAACGTTTAGCTTTTGAATGCTTGATTATTTTTTTTATGCCTCAAAACAATAATTATTTTCTAATTAATTCAAAACGTGGAAGGAGAAGGAAAACAAATATAATTAGATAGAATTTTCACAATAATTGTATTCATAGATTAGTTTTTTATATTATTAATTTATGTAATTATATGTTTTTACGGTTGAAATTTGATAGTCAAGTGAGTCAAAATTTAAATGTTTAAACAAATTAATTTTATGATTGTCATTTCTATAAATATTTATTGTTAATTACATGTTTTGGGTGTTATGCACTAATTAAAAAATAATAATTTGCTTTGGGTCCTAATAACAAATATTATTTGTAAAAATATAATTGGTGTATTGATTGGAAGGATAAAATTGAAAGAAATCATACTATTGATGGAGTATAGGACTTCTTGGGGATAAATTATCAAAAATAGGACTTAATTATCCTAAGGTAAACATGATAGGACTTAATGGTCCTTTTGAATGAAAAATAGGACTTAATGGTATTTTTTTTCTTTAATTTACATATCTAATGATGTGACAGTGAAATGATCCAATAAAATTATTGTAACAGGAACTATTAGATTTCTTCATTGAGACGTTCACTTTACATATCATTAGGTCAATATCAAATTTTTAGCTTTATGTCCCAATATTATTACTTAATTGATATTTTGTTCGAGTGGTAAATGAGTAGATTCACTATACCTAATATAAGGGCCGACAAGAACCCGACTAAATACGAGATGAATGTGACTAAACACGATGTGTGCACGATATAAACCCGATCTAACATGTTTGAATGAACAACCCATTTGGCACAATTTATTGATAGTCATATAGTTACTTGTATTGTCTTTTTTAATTCCATCAATTCTTTAATAACACTACTCAACTTGCAATCAGGGACTTGTCCTCTAGTGGATTGAATGGGACAATACCTACTTACATATCCAACCTTACAATGTTACAAACTCTGTAAGTATGATCAATCTTGCATTTGCTAATAATCTTTCAATCTGTTGATGATGCCAATCAATTTAGCCCCCTAATTTTTCTACTCATTCATTTTAGGGACTTATCAAACAACAGTTTAACAGGGGAGGTACCTGATTTTCTCTCCCAACTCACTGCACTTAAGGTCCTGTAAGTCACCAACACCTAGAAATGCCTCTTTTTTATATAGATTTCATGGTATGCAAGAAAACAGGTAGTCACTAGTCAGCCATGTTTGTGAGCTTCTTTTGCAGAAACTTGAAAGGAAACAACTTCAATGGTTCAATTCCAGCACAAATCCTTGAAAAGTCGAAAAATGGAACGCTCTCATTGAGGTTTGCTCTATTTTCTTAAAGAGTAATACTACTTAGACTTAAAAATCTGACATAATAATGTGACTTCAATAGAATCATTAGATCAACACCAAGTTTCAATATTTGATAAGCTCCACAACCAATTCAAATGTCATAGTGAATTTGATTAACAGATTAGGTCAGTAATTTCTGTCTCAAATGATCATGAACTGAGAAGGCATTACAGTTTCTGATGAAGTTTTTTTTTTTTTATAGCAGTAACCAATCAATCCTCTCTTTATTGTTCTATTTGCAAATAAAAAAAAATATAGTAACAGTCCATCAAGTATTGTGCTCTTCCTAATTTCATCCCTACATTTCACTTTTGAAAATTTAGCCCCTAATTAAAGACATCTATTTAATTGGGCAATCAAATCACCATCCCTTCGACCTCAAATGCCCCATTCGTATGAGTAAATATTGGGTGTAATAGTGACACTACATAATTATTGATACGCGGTGTTACCATTTAATAGTAAACTTACAAATAGGTAAGATGAACTCCACTTGATTATTTATTAGTGACACAATAAGGTGGTAATTATAATATGTGAGATTCACCTGTTTATTTGTTATATTTTTATTAGATGGTAATATCACGTAATNGTTGCTGGCACTCCTGGGTACCTTGACCCGGAGTAAGTATTTTTCATTCTCTCTTCAATACCTTTTTTTTACCAAGAAACCTCCCAACCATGTTGTTTGGACTCTTAGTTGTTACATGAATTTGGAGTGTACACAATTATTCTTTAATCATGCATATTGGGTCAATCAAAGCGTCTCTTGCGAGACTCGAACTTAAGACCTCGAGTAATTAACCACTGAAAGGTTATCATTTGAGCTATTGATGGGTTGAGATCATTTTCCTTTATTGGTCACTTTCTTATACAAACCACTATTGTGATCTTTTTGTCACATACAATCATGTTTAACAATATTTTCGCTTGCAGATATTACTCATCAAATAGGTTGACAGACAAAAGTGATGTCTATAGCTTCGGGGTTGTACTGTTGGAGATAATCACAGGCCAACCAGCTATAATAAAAACTCATGAGCAGGCTCACATTGTTCAATGGGTTAGTTCAATTCTTGAAAAAGGGGATGTTAAAAATATTGTTGATCCAAGATTAGGGGGAGGTTTTTATGTTAATTCTGCCTGGAAAGCTGTGGAGTTAGCAATGGCTTGTGTCTCTCGTTCTTCCAACAAAAGGCCAACCATGACTTCTGTGGTGAAAGAACTGAAAGAGTGCTTGGATATAGAGACAGCTGACAATGAGAGAGAATCAAAGGATTCAATTGGGGTGATACCAACGAATATGGAGAGTGGACTTGGTCCCCGTGCAAGGTAGTGGAGTTCGTAAAAATTTGATTTTTCTGTGTTGAAACATTTCTACTTCAATAATGTTACTTGCACCAAATTTAGCTCTCAAATCCACTGCGAATGTCGGATTAACAATGAATTCGATCCAGTATTGAAACCCATTGGTTGTCTAACTACAGCAGTGGATTCAATCAACAAATTTGGTCAATGAATTTGGTGCAAGTAGAATTGCTATTTCTACTTTAGCAGTGGTTCTTGAAACAACTTTGTTCTTTTGAAATCTGAAGTGTATGTCATGCCAGATTATGTACCATTATCATGGCCCGGGTGGAACTTTTTTCCTCTTAATTTCTTTGTAATAAAGAACTATGGAGTTTGCACCTTGAAATGCACTCCATATAATGCCCTGTTTGTAACTTGTCTCGATACAATTTCTATTACACAATGGCAACTTCCTTCTTGTTTTAAGAAACATATAGCAGTGGAAATGGTGCCTGCACATAATTAGGAGAAATTAGCAAGGGTTAATAATACTTTTAGTCGCCAAAATATGCATTTTTTCTCAGTTTAGTCCTTATTCTATCAATTTATCAATTTGGTTCTTAAAGTATTCAATTTGTGTTACTTTAATCCCTAATCAGACAATCTGTTAAGTTTTTTGATAGAACAAACCACGCATTATTTTTTTGAGACGGTATCACATGTTTAACACATGATCATTCGGTCAAAAATTTAACAGTCAAAATGACACGAATTTAATACTTTAGGGACTAAATTAACAAAATTGATACAATGAGTATTAAACAGACAAAAAATATATATTTTAGAAACCAAAAATGTTATTAACCCAATTATCAATTAATGACTGTCATCGAAGAAGATGTAATTATGGAAACATCATTTGAATCTTCAAGTTTTAGGCAAACAGAGTTGAGTTTTGGGTGTGGATGATTGTTGATTTCATGATTTTAGTATTATCAAGGGCATATGGTTTGGGTTCGTTAAAGTATTTCCATGGAGTTCCTCATTAATTTCTTTTTACTTTTTTCGGCATTTGGGGAACAACCTTTGTGGTGGTAAACTAGATTAGGGTTTTGGAGTGGAAAATGGGTATGGGTGGGAAATGAGTGGTTGAAAGGTTGTGTCGTGTTCGATCATCTCAATTTGGAGAAAATATTCTTTACAATGGTAATTTCACATAGCAGTGTGATATGGTATCGTCAATCAATAATATTAAAACAAATAAATAAACGGATTCTACAAAAATTAATAATCAACCTATCATGTAAACAAATAACTCATCGCTCTTCCTCTATATAAGTCTAAGTGGAATTTACCTTGTTCACTTAGAGTTTTATTATTGGTTAGTGATATCATGTCATCAATGGTAATATAGTATCACCGTTACATTCAATATTTACTCATTAATTTGGGTTCATGTCGAACATTATTCTACTTAACTCAATTCATTTAATTTGATAAATCAGATGTTCTTACACTTCCCCAACCTATTTGTTATCTTGTCATATACGGGTTAGCTCATATAATTCGTGAACTAAAATTCTATAATTAAGACTTGTTATCTCTGAAACAAACTCATGCTCATAGTTTTTTCATAAACTAAAAAAATCATAAATTCATATAGTTGTAAATATAACGAAAAAAAATGTTATTTTATTAACTAAATTGTCAATACTTGTTAAACATACTAGTAATTGTTGTTTAGGCATGGGATAACAAAATAATATCAACCCATTTTCTTAAAAAAAAAAAATTGATACAGTTTTCTCTAAAGACATAATCCTAAACAAATATCGACCTGTACTCAAACAAATATGGATAATTAAGATGAGCAACTAAACAGAAAATCATTTGACAAAATTTTTTTAAAAAAACGTGAACCGTTTGTACATTGTCTTATTACTTCCATAGTCTCACAAAAAACCCTAAATCAGCCGACNTTTAAAAAAACGTGAACCGTTTGTACATTGTCTTATTACTTCCATAGTCTCACAAAAAACCCTAAATCAGCCGACACACACATCTTTGGCTTCGTGTAATAACAATTTTTAGCTAACATTGTTCGTTACATGTAACCTGGATCAATTTCAAGTAATATAATAGATTAAAATAATGACTAAAANACACATCTTTGGCTTCGTGTAATAACAATTTTTAGCTAACATTGTTCGTTACATGTAACCTGGATCAATTTCAAGTAATATAATAGATTAAAATAATGACTAAAACTTATTTTTTAGTATGATACTAAAAAATATTATGAATGTCATAACTAGTTTTAGGAGCTGATAATTTTGGGATAAATAACAAGTGTGCATTAGTTGAATTTATCACATGCAAGAATTTGAACCGGCTCTTATTTCTGTTCTCTATAAAGTACAGATACTTCGTTGAAGTCGACGTAATCATATCAGATATATTATCGGATATGATACTCGAGGATATGTATCGGATACATCTTCTACGTATCCGATACACTTCCTATGTATCCAATAATAATTAAATATTAAGATATTTCACAGATACTTTTGTGTTCAAGCAATATATATAGTTTTTAAGTTAAATTTTTAACATTTCCTTTCGAATTCACAAACCATACATTACATTTATAAAAATTCATACTACTTCAAAAACACATGAGTATTATTTAAGTATTATCTACAATTATATGTCAAAAGATCACAAAATAAATCTATTACATTATAGTTTTAGCAAAAATTACTTCTAAATAAACCGACTCGGTAAATATTAGTTTTGATTTCTTTATTTAATCACTTCATTTTGTGAATATACCATAGTGATACGATATATATTTTATTCAAACTAAAAATAATTACTAATTTTCCTAATTGCGTTAAAGAACTACCAAAATATATAAGTATTATGCTGATTGAAAATAATAAAAATATTAAATATATTTTATTATAATCGTATCTTGACTGTACTCATATTTTTTTTTTAAAATTTTATCGTATCGATATATACGTATCGTATCGTACCCATATCATATTGTACTCATATCTCATATTTGTATCCGTATCTGTATCCATATCCACACTTCATTGTGTGTTCTTAATTGTATACGAGGAAAGTCACTAACATTTTGACTTTTCAAATTCTTACACTAAATAATCAATATTAATTACTTATTGGAGCTTCAATCATTTGTTATTCTCACTTCTGTCACAGTTTGTCTCTTGGAAATCCTTCAGGCTCTTTGCCTGGTTTCTGGTACCTAAGTATTCCTCCAGTTATGTTTAGCTGAAAGAGCACTCCACGCTTTGATATTACTAGTCGATGCACACGTGCATTGTATATAGAGTATTTTAAGTACAAATTAATATATTCCTCCTCCAAAATTTACAATAAAAATAAACACGGACGATTTTATAATAGCAATCAACTCTTGTGAGTCCATTCACACTTACCCGTTAGATATGTATCCACTAAAAAGTCGATAACATGGTATGTACTAATTCAAATGCTTGAAATAATAATTAGAAAATGAGGGGACAAAAATATAAAATAAGTTGTGCAAGTTTCATTTTCATGAGCATGAGGTGAATGCAGACATCCACTTATAAAAAGAGATTCACTTCACAGGCTTACAAGAGTGAACAAAGAAAGTTGATTAGCTTTTCTCTCATAGGTGTTATAAGGTCATGCAACCCCATTCTTTGACATGAATTCATGCATGTGAAATCAGACATAAGGCTCAAAGTCTCGTTGTAAGTTATGTGGGACGTGTACCAAGATGCCATTGCAATACATTTCCATTATGTTATAACCATAACGATTTTCTGTGAGGATAAGGACTCCTAAACAATTGAACTACACAAGCATACTTGGCTGATTTCCCATATGGCATTGAGTTCCTGTGAATCTATTAATAATGGCCTACCGTAGTTTCTTGACTCCCCCTTGTACGTTGTCATAACAGAAGGATGAGTAAGTAGAACTTTCACATTGTATTCATAAAGGGATGTAGAAGATATTGCAGCCATTCTAACACCATAAAATTTTATGGGATGGGATGTAGATCATGAACGGATATGGAGTCCAGGTTGCTCCATCAATCAAACAAATTTAGTCCCAACAATGTCTGCAATAGGGTATTTAACCCAGCAACAAAAATTTAAGTGCAGATAACTTTCACTTTTGTCCTCCTAAAAGAGTGGGAAATATGGTTTGATACAGATAGTGCTGCAGACTACCACATTTGCCAAGACCACTTTGGAAAGGAATTAAACTACATGTATTCTCAGGCCTCACGTTTCCTCCTCCCCATTTGAGGAACAAGAGCAAGAGTGATAACTATTTTGCCAAACATAACTAAGTGACGTTGAAATCCACGGATAATAATAGCTTTTGTTGCATCAGAAATGTCCCACAAATTTAAAGGAATTAGACCACTAAAATTGATGAAAAACAATGAAATATTCTATTTTATAAAATCGCCTTCAATCAAATGAAGATATGCACAACACTGAAATTACCATCAATAATCAAAAATAGCAAACACAACAAATTAAATAACAAATATTTGATGAATGCCAGCACAACCAATTCATGAAGATGTAGTTTGCCTTTTTTCCACTTGAGAAATATGTTATACTTTAAAAATTAAAATATGTGCCTCGAAATCATAAAATAGAGAGTATACAATGTAGGCTCATAGTAAAATATAACAGAGAAAGTGAACAAAAAAAAAAAAAGANATATAAAATCGCCTTCAATCAAATGAAGATATGCACAACACTGAAATTACCATCAATAATCAAAAATAGCAAACACAACAAATTAAATAACAAATATTTGATGAATGCCAACACAACCAATTCATGAAGATGTAGTTTGCCTTTTTTCCACTTGAGAAATATGTTATACTTAAAAAATTAAAATATGTGCCTCGAAATCATAAAATAGAGAGTATACAATGTAGGCTCATAGTAAAATATAATAGAGAAAGTGAAAAAAAAAAAAAAAAAAGATGAGAAGAACAATGCC